CCTGCTCCTCTGATGCTGCCTGGCCTGCTGTGTTCATCCAGCTCCACGCTGTATATTTGCCACTGAGCTGTCTGTCTCTTTCCTGTGATAGTAGGAACTGCAGATGCTGGAGAATCTGAGATAACAAGGTGTAGAGCTGGATGAACTCAGCAGGCCAAGCAGCATCAGAGGAGCAGGAAAGCTGACGTTTCGGGCCTAGACCCTTCTTCAGAAATGGCTGACGTTTCGGGCCTAGACCCTTCTTCAGAAATTTCTGAAGAAGCGTCTACGCCCGAAACATCAGCCTTCCTGCTCCTCTGATGCTGCTTGGCCTGCTGTGTTCATCCAGCTCTACACCTTGTTGTCTCTTTCCTGTGCTCAGTCTCTCTTTGAGATCCAGCTCTCTACGGTGTCATCAGCAAATTTGTAAATGGAGTTCGAGCTGAATTTGGTCACACAGTCATGAGTTTATAAGGAGTACAGTAAGGGGCTGAGTACGCAGCCTCGTGGGGCTCCCGTGTTGAGGATTATTTTGAATGTGGTTTGGTCACCAATCCTTACTGATTGCAGTCCATGGGGCAAGATGTTCAGGATCCAGTTACAGAGTGAGGAGGCAAGAACTAGATCTCGGAGTTTGGAAATGTGTTTTGTTGGAATTATGGTGTTGAAGGCAAAGCTAAAGTCAATAAATAGGATTCAGACGTAGGTGTCCTTGTTACCCAGATGTTCCAGGATGAGTGTGGGGCCAGGGAGATGGTGTCTGCCGTGGACCTGTTGCGATGGTCAGCGAATTGTAGTGGATCAAGGTAATCTGGGAGGCTGGAGTTGATGTGTGCCGTTACTAACCTCTCGAAGCACTTCATAACAATGGAAAGCACACTTCTGTCTAGAAGGACAAGGGCAGCAGATATATGGGAACATCACCCCCTGCCAGTTCCCCTCCAAACCACTTACCATTCTGTCTTGGAAATATATCACCGTTCCTTCAGTGTCACTGGATCAAAATCCTGGAATTCCCTCCCCAAGGGCATCGTGGGTCAACCCACAGCACATGGACTGCAGTGGTTCAAGAAGGCAGCTCACCCCCACCTTCTCAAGGGGCAACTAGGGATGGGCAAGAAATACTGATCCAGCTGGCAATGCCCACATCCCATGAATGAATGAAATAAATACATTCTAACGACACAAGCAATTATAAACCATTGACACATAACTAGTTAAAACTCTAACCTACTAGTAAACTCTGCCTCTACACACAGACACCCACACACATACACAGACACACACAGACACACACACACACACACAACACACACAGACAGACACACACACACAAAAAAAAGTTGAGGGTTACGAGGAGAAAGCAGGAGAATGAGGTTGACAAACATAACAGCCATAATTGAATGGTGGAGCAGACTCAATGGGCCGAATGGCCTAATTCTGCTCCTATATCTTATGGTCTTATGGACTGCCAACAGGGCAAGATTGAAAAGAATGGGTCTTTTTGGAGATTAGAAGAGTGAGAGTTGATTTCATTGAAATTTCAAAATTCCAAGGCTTTAATATAATAGATACTTCAAGGCTGTTTACTAAGTTAGTGAAGACTGAAAGAGGGCTCCAAAGGGACCTCTGTGTCTTTGCCTGTAAGTCACTATATCAGCGCAATTAGGAAAACAAATGGTATGTTGGTTCTCACTACAAAAGGCTTTGAGTTCAGGGTAAAGATGTCTTGTTGCAGTTGTGTCGAGTTTTGGTGAGCCTGTACCAGGATTATTATGTACATTTTTGGTCTCCGTTTCTATGGAAGCATGGACTTACCATAGGGGGAGTGCAACAGACGTTTACTTGGGATGGCAGACTGGCTGTATGAGAAGAGATTGAAGAGATTGGGCCTGTATTCCAGAGATTGAAAGAATGAGCAGTGATTTACAGAGAGTTACAAAACCCCCAAAAGGACATGACAGAGGATGTAACTAATATATGGCTTGTGATTCTAGCATCAGGACCACAATCTCAGGATAAAGGGCAGGCTATTTAAGACTGAGATCAGGAGGAATTTCTTCAGAGGCTGGTGAAACTCTGGAAATCCCCACCCAGAGGACAGAGGAAGCTCAGTTATAGAGCGAGTTCAAGACTGGAATTGTTATGCTCATGGAGACTAATAACATCAAAGGAAATGGTGCAGGAAAATGCTGCTGATGAGATGATCAGCCACATGAATAGAGGAGAGAATTGATGGACTGAATGGCCTAAACCTGTTCTTGTGCTGTTATTATCTTAGAACAACGAGGGGACTGCGTAAGACAGGGATTAAGACATCATGC